ATGATAATAGGTTGATAGGTCTGTAATTTTGCGGAAAAGCGCCGTCCTTCCCTGGTTTTTTAATCATGATGATTTGTGCCTCATTCCATCTATCTGGAAAATATCTTAATTTGAGCATGTTGTTTATAATATCCGTAATGTAAACAGTAGCTTTAGTGGGTAGGTTTTTTAGTACCCTGTTTGTGATGTCAGGTCCTGGGGCTTTTTTAGCGTTTGTCAGCTTTATTAGCTCTTTTATTTCTTCGGGAGATGTGTGTGTTATCCCCACTCTGCACTTTCTTCTTTTTAGTCTTCTGGCTGTTCTTTCTACCTCTTCTTCGAAGTCTATCTCTTCATTGGGATTTTAGTTGTTTCTACATGCCCTTTCTAATTCGTACTTTTGGGCTTTGTCTGTTTCCGTGTGGATTATCCCGTTTACTCCATGTAAGGGAGGTATGGGTTTCTTGTCCTGTCGGAGGATTTTCGATAGTTTCCAGAAGGCGGATTTATTAGGGTCTAGTTCTTGGATATAGTTGTCCCAGCTTTCTTTTCTGTGATTTTGTAGTTGTTTTTTCCCTGTCTAGCTCATTTGCAATCCTTTTATGTCCTATTGTTCTAGTACGGTAAGCTCTTCTCCTTTTTCTGTTTTTTCTTTGATTAAGTCTTGTAGCTCTTGACTTATATCCCTGAATTTTCCTTTTTGTCTTGTGATTGTTTCGAATTTGGAGCTGGCATCGATAGCATTAATTACTGTTTCTTTTAGTTTGGTTAAGCTGTCTTCTAGTCCTGTGATGTTGTTTATTGTTGGAATGTTACTGATGTTTTCGCTCACAATTCTTCTGAAGTTTAACCAACTTGTCTTCTTTCTGTTGTGGGGCTGCAAGTAGTTTAGTTCTATTGCGCCCAGGGTCAGCACGATTAGATTATGCGTCGAATCGCTTTCGTTTAGAGAGTGTAGCTCGTATTGTTTGTAGAATTCATGTATATCACGTTGTGTAGAATTGCAATGTCTAGATGTGTAGGTAGTTGTCCGTGAAAACAGGTCGGTTCTGTAGGTCCGATCACGTAGGTGTTTGGTCTATTTTCGAGATGGCCGCAAAGTCGTCTTCCGTTATTGTTGGTCGCTCTACCGAACCAGTTGGGAGATTTCGCATTCAGGTCTCCTACGATTACCTTGGGCTCTTCTGAGTCGAGGATTAGGCTCAAATCTGCATCGAATATCGGTTCGTTAGTTCTGACATAAGCTGACACTATTTTTAGTGTTTCATTGTTGGCCTTTAGTCTTACTAGTCTTTAGTCTAATATCAGATACATTAATTTCGTTTTTATTATGAATGGCACATGCAACTTCATTATAAGTTTAATTTTGGACTCAATACCCCTCCAATTTGTTTTCAGCATCATTTGATTTCAAAAGTAATTTATTAATCTTTTTGATGTTCCTATTTTCAGTTTTTCCGAAAACATATTTACACTATAAAAATTGAACCGAATAATAAAATACATTACACAACTACAAACTATGCGGTTCAAAAAAAAAACATGCCTTAACAAAATCTTAACTATAAATCTCATCATCCTTTCTCCCATAGGAAGTCTGTAGATAGACGTCTTGCTGATAGATCTATAAAACTAACCCCTAATTCTTAAAATACGATTTTTGTATTTTGATAACCATTTCTGAAGAGAAAATTATAACGTCAAAAATAAACTTATTTTAAACTTATATTATGGATTATTCCCAACGAAAATAGTTATTATTATTCGCTTTCGTAGTTCTTCTAATGGAGCTGGATTTGTAGATGAGGGGTATAGAAGCAAAATCCGCCAAGTCACAGCTATCAAAATTTTCAGGAAACGTGAAAAACTATTACAGAGGACTCCAGTTATATTTTTAGTTTTCATTTTGATTTAATTTTATTCTAGTATAATGTTTATTAGAAGAATACAAAATAAAAAATATTTGAGCTGGAGTTTCGGTATAAAATTGGTTTTATTTATGGACATGGCGGGATTTGCAACAAAATTTAGCAACTTTGGATTGGAAGTTTTTCTTAAACTTCACTTAATAAATTATTAAGTATAAACATTAGATTCTTATTACTTAAAACATATTTATTTGTTTAAATTTATATAATTATTGTTATAAATTGAAAATAACGTAAACTCAGAAAAAGGAACTTTTTTTAACACAACAAATTTTACATCCCAGTTGTTTCTTGTGGAAAAAATTCTTCATATAACTCATTTATCAATAGTTGTGGATCACTCTCGTCAATATTTAGAGAAAAATGTATGGCATCTTTATAAAACTTTAAATCAAAATTTTCTTGCCAATCAGTTCCATAATACGTTTCTAATAGTTTGGCAACACTTTGGGCCTTCTTTTGGTCACTTAATCTGCCAGCTTCAAATTTGTCAGGATTAATCGAACAAATATGTTTCCTTTCTTACAAACGCCCTTTGGAACACCGATGAAAGTATTATAGTTGACTACGCCCTGAACTTCAGTTGTATTATCATTTTGCTTCAAAATCCTAAAGCGTTTGCACTGTTGAAAGTGCCAAGCTCCTGGTGGTTTAATAACTTCTAATACTGAGGTTTTCCAATTAAATGCGTCCCAGTCTTCAACAAATTTATATATTGTGGCGTTTTGCTCCATTACAGCTATATAGTTCTCTGGATTCGTTATTATTTCTGTTTTTTTTTTAATTTTGCCTTCAGAAATACCAAAAACTCTATCTGGTGTCCTACAACTTGGAATACTAGTTCAATACAGCGAATATTATTAGGCGCCTTTTTATGGAGAAAACTTGCAAGCATGCCGATCATTGTTATATTTTTATTTTCACCCAGACAGCCATCTGCACCAATCAAAACTTTTTTAACATCTTTGGAAAATTTATGTTTTCATAATCTATTAAACAACGCTAAAGATATAACACTTAAGTTTTTTTTTGCAAATCTAAATCGGTCCATAGATACGCTGAAAATGTGTCGGAGTTAAGTTTTATATTAGAAGTACCATTTAAAATTGATAAATTGTAAAGTTTATAATTGGGAAGAGAAGTAAGCTTTCTAATCAGGTAATTTCCGAAGAGCTAAGTTTTTTTGACAATCCATTGAAAAAACTTCTCTCCCACTGCTGTTAGTTTTAAGAATTTTGTAAAATGTTTTTACTTTAAGTTGATGTAATTACTGTTAAACATTAAGTTCTTTTTTTTGCTCCTCATTTTTTTCTTTCCTTATCTCTTCCTTATATCTTAAGCAAAGAGAGCATGCATCTGTAATAGGTGTTCCAAAACCTACATTATAGTGCGTTGCAAAATATGAACGAAAATACTGTTCCTTAATCATAAGAGAGCTATCCACTGATGTGACGTAAACTTTAAAGTGCTTTCTTAAGATAAGATCATGTGGTAGATAAGTTCTTTTCTTGATTTGACTCCTTCAATAATGAGATTCCAGACATTTAAAACTCTCAATAAAATTACTTATGGCTAACTTTTTTTGATCACTTTTTCTAGAACGCGGTCGCGCCCTCCTTTTTCTGATGGAGTTAATCCCTTAAAAAAACATCTTTACCACACCCTAAATTCTATCTTTTTTCACGCACAAAATTTGCATAAAGGCTCTTCTGCATACACTAATCCATTCGCCACCTTGCTTTGGTAATCTATAATTTATTGATACCGGTTTTTGGGAAATTGTACTGCCCACTTCCCTCTCTGCTAATCTTCTTCTCTACGGTGTCTTAGCCTCACAACATTAATACAAAAGCATCTTGTTTATGTTTTGATGGAATTTCATAAAATCTTTTATGAACAAATTGCAGATCCCTCATAATTAATAAATTGCACTTCAAGAACTTATGTTTATGAACATATCTTGGTTTTTCAGGCCAACCTTTAGCCGAGTATCTAAAAACAAAAAAAAAAAAAAGATTAGTTCGATGCACTGAAACATTCTCTAGCTCTCTATGCATACCTATTTTTTAAAGCGAATACCTTTTGTGTTTATGACGCTGTACTATTCTTTTCCGGCTACATTCTGGAGTCGTTTTTTCTATAGAGATACCAATATTATTGTTATCCATTACAACAAAACAAAAGAAAATTAGGTAAACCTACTTTGAATAATATCCAAACAACACTAAAAACATTACATGGTTAGAAGCTGCCACATGCCATTTTGCGGAAACGGCTATGTCACGTGTCAGCCTAAACGTTTCGCCATTAGCAAGGTCGGACTTGGCGATCTTTGCAACCAAATTTTTTTGGACAAGGCAGGTTTTACAGCCTAAACGTATTTTCTCGTATAAAGTACTCCGATTTAAGGTGGAATTTGCACCTAAATCATGTTTGAACTTATGGATATACACATAAAGAACAAATTCCCGTATCAAACGCAGAATTTACAAAAATGTGACTTGACGAGTTTTGCTTTTATACCCCTCAGATATAAACCTCGCTTTTTAAACAATCCCATATGAAGAACTATAGCAGAAATAAATGGGTGATCATTCCAGCTTCATTCGAAGATCTAACATAACGAATAGTACATTAATGTAGTGTAGTAACCCCTAAAAATTGTATGGACGTCGGTGGATATCATTTTAAACATTTAAGCATGTAGTTATAGCTAATGAGTAAACTGTTTCGAATTATGAATTTATTAATATATTAAAATTTATTTTATTTTATTTACGTTACATCTAATAGTTTCCTATTAACGTTGTAAATTTCATTTTATTGCAGTTTTTGACATGACCGGAAATTCTCAATAAATTGATATTTTTTAACAAGAGTAGAGTTAATATCAAAAAAATGTATGTCTGGATTCTCCAGTAAAATATCTGTCTAACAATGTGCCACACGTGGTATATTCCCTATTTAAAATTTAAATGTTATGGTGCTGGACAGTACCAGTGTAATTTGTGTAAGCATCTACAATAGACACTTAAAAAAATTATTTCTTTTTTAAATGCTAGGGCAACAATCTAAAGAAACTGTTTGTTATAGATCTTGCCAATAACGTAATATTATTTTTGGGTGATGGTATGTCCATACCAACAGTGTCAGCAACAAGAGTTTACATGGGAGGAGAGGAATATAAGTTAGCTTTTGAATATTTCCCCTATACTGGCTTTTCAAAGGTAAGCTACCACCTAAAAGTATCTTAGTAATAAGTTTGCAGCAGTCTTAAATATATATATATATATATATATATATATATATATATATATATATATATCCGTTGGTTGTTATAACGGGTCATAGTTCAGCCAATTAGCTTATTGTAATCTTCTATTAATATAGAGGAAAGGCGGCAAATTAGAACCCCAATTGGTTGTAACTTAATAAAATTTTTACTAAAGTAATTTAAATTGCAGTGTAAAAAAAAAACTAAACTAACATTATCTACAAATAACTTTTCTTAGTTGTAAATATTCTAAAAAATATATATTATATGAATTTGCCATTTTTGCAAAGGTTTGCAAAATAGGCACTGTAAAAAAATGCTGTAAATTCGGAAAAAATTTACAATTAAATTAATATATAAATTGATTTCACTTCTAAAATAGATTGATTAAGAAGCTGTGTACAAATTTGGCTTTTAAGTGACCAAAATAGAAGAATATCAACATAAATTTACTTTTTCATAAAAGGCGTAGGCCTATGATTGTTTTAATTTTGAACCTAGTCTATTGGCAGAAGTCGCGTATGTAGTCATCTTTTTCCGCAGTGGTACAATCAACATGTGCCCAACAATGACACATTAGACACTTGATCCACTGTTCACCCGTCACTGACTTGGACTATTTTTCGTTGCAGAACATACACGTCACATCCGATTCATCCGATGTTTGTCCTGGTCCTACAACCAATCCGGTTGAAGAGACTGATTTTCAAACTGTCTTTTTCAAACGCATATTTAATGTTGTCAAAAACATTGACACATTTTCTTTGTTGAAACCTACCGCTCTTTCAAATGAGGTTTCTGTTGGCTTACGAATTGAAAGTCGTCCCTTATGTCTTTTCATAAATAGGTCTAACCACGCTTTACCTGCCATGTTGTATTTGACAAAAGCGTGCGTTATACCATTCCTTTTAACCTGTTGATAGGCTATACTACGAAGGTCTTGCCTAGTCAAACCAAAAAATGTGGATTCCATGACCAAACAATACTTAACCAACTGTTGCTCCAATTGGAGAGGCAAGACAGTAGGCCTTCCTGCTCTAACAGCAACTGCTTTTGCTGGTTCTCCATATTTTTCCATTGACAAACGCATCAACCTTGTCTCAGGTACTTCAAAAGTCTTGGCTGCCTTTTTCCATCTCACTATTTTCGCCCTAATTGCTTCTATAGCCTTTTTCATATTTTTTTTTTGACCACAACCTCTTCTTTTTTTCTTTTGTAGTCTCTGGCATGGTTTTTTAATCTGCAAATATAATATTCGGAAGTACTTTTTAATAATGGAACGTTTTTACTGGGGGTCCGAATTAGGAAATAACACGTGCAAATTAAAACGAACCTCACTCAAAAACTTTCCGGTACAATTATTTTTCCATCACTTTAAACACACTACCAACTTATTTACTAGATACTACATTAGTATTAAGTTTTTACCTTCAAGAGAACTATCGTAGGAAATAATAAGCTGGAACACTGCAAATATTCTGAGAGCCATAAAAATAAAAAACACTCGTCACTGTCTAAACTCAGTCACTAACTGAACAACCGCAGAGCCTCGACATCCGACAATGCCAAGGACAAATTTACACTGCTTTCTCAGTGGCAGCAGCCCCTCGGTATGAAACTACACTAGGGGTCCGAATTATCAGCAGTGGTCCGAATTTACCGCGCTTCCTCTAACATTCTGGCTTTCCGTGCTCCCCGCAGCACGGTGGTGGCTCAGTTAAATTATAAAAAATGAAAATTTCTTGGTGTTTTAAGCGATCGAACCCAGCCCATTCGGCTTCATAAGCCAGCACCTAGCTACTGTGCTATAACCGCCACATTTATGTTATTCTATTATCTAATTCTAATTATAATTTTCAGAATAAACACTTATGTTAATGTCAATTGTCAAAAATACCTATGTCAAATATAAACAAGAAGCAAATTTTATCTTTCCACTAAAAAAAATGAAGTTATTAATTTCTGAGAAAACCAAACTAAAGTATCCATTCATAATTGTTGATAGGATTTGGTATTGTTATCAATAAAAATGGCGAACGGAAATTATTTGGAAGGAAACTTCAAATGGAATGAGAATTTTTTAACTCTTCTTATATTGTTAAAAATTATTAATCATAAAATGATTCCGTTTACAAAATGGCGTCCATGCGCCATGATTAACGATCAAGTTTCATAAAAATTAATAGTTTAAGTTCAACAGTTAATTTAACTATTCTTAAATGATTTTTTTTTTTAATTTTTGAGCTAAAAATGCTAATTCTGTAAGAGTTGTTGAAAATGCTTTAAAACAATCTTTCAAATAAAAGGTATTATTGTTCATATAGAACCACTTAGATTAATTTTAAGATTGTGGCTACTCGGCTGTTTTTATTGATTCAGTCACTGATACTTTATAAAAATTATGAACAATGGCCCTAGTTGCTATCCGCCAAAAACTGTATTGATTTTAATTTTATGATTCAGAACATATGTTGGAAAATAAACAATGAACTGTAAGCATGGATCTTTTAAAATAGACTTTTCTTACTTTGTCCAATGTCTTAACCCTCTTGTTCTAAGCTTTTTTCAATGTAGCCTGTGTCGTTGACTACTACAATATACTGATTATAGTAATAATAAAAACCAGGTAAAATGGCGGGTTTGAGAGATTAAGCGATGATGAGTGGTCTTTAAACAGTTGTTACTTTAAAATTTAATTCCACGTCACTTAAAAAGTAACTTATTTAATTTCCTTTATTTCCGTTCAGTAAGAATGTTGGTCAAGGCAGAACTCTGATTATTTGATAAACCTAAATTATATTATTATTATTATTATACTATATGTCATAACAGAAAATTAAACAAAAACCATTAAACAATGTTTGTCATTAAATTTATTGTATAAATACAATACATTTCGTACTAGGTTGCAATTCAATATTAAAACGAAAACTTGTTGAGCAGTGGTGAGACACAAGAAAGCAGTAAAATGTTATTCATAAAGATTTTGTAAAATATATCTCCTTTTACATGGTCCATTAGTAATAAAATATTTCGTTCATGATATTTATAAGTCGTGGACTTCTAGTTTTTTAGGATTTGGATTAAATATTTCACACTACATAAAGCGCTAAAACGACAACATTGATTCGTAAGAGGTAATTGTAATTCTCCGATTCCCTTAGACACCTAGACAGAAAACGACCAAATCACGTAACAACACATGAAATATACATCTTCGTCCGTCGATTTTTGTGATTTTTGTTTTCATTACGTATACTCGGTTCATTTTTTATAACATAAACTCGATAAAAATACACTAACATTAATAAGGCGGTGCCTTTGTTTGGGTTTTTAATAATGTGAACAATTTTTTGTGGTCGAATAGAAAATAAAAGCACATTTCTTTAAAAAGACAAAACAAAAATATACTCTTATTGAAAATAAAAAATAATTCCTAATAAAATGAGAAATTATTCTTTTTGCCCTACAGAAATGATTCAAATATTTGACATTCTACGACTGAACAGTATCCCAATCTGTCATAAAAACTTCTGCGGACAGATGAAAGAGTTTCTACTATAACAGAATTAGAGACTTCACTTATTCGGTTGTTTATTTCATCCAAATTTTGGACTCTAGTCCCAGCATGATCGTAGATGATGCTTTTTAAATGTCCTCAAAAACAGAAGTTCATGGGTGTAAGATCTGGAGATCGCACAGTCCACTTAATATCGCCTTTTCACTGATAACTCGATTTGAGAAAGTTTTGCTTAAGTACTCCCTAATTATTCGAACATTGTGAACTGAACAGCCATCTGGATGAAACCAAACATTCTACATACATAGTTATATCAAGAAAATTGAGAATAGCGGGAAGAATATGATTCTGTAACAAATACTCTAACTATTTAAGTAGCCGTCAATAAAAAATGGACCTATTATGTGGTCTTCATTGTCGCGAGAGATTGAAGCTTTATACTGAAACATTTCTAGGAGAATATCAGACAGAATTCAGGCGTGGACGTTCTGACCAGATCTTAACACTTCTGAATTATTACTGCTATCATTCAAAACGACTCTTCAATCCCATTTGAAATATATAGGGGGTTAAGGCAGGGAAATGCGCTGGCTTGTTAGCCTTTTAATGTCGCCTTAGAAAAAGTTGTACGAGACGCTAATTTAGATAGCAGGGGAACAATATTAAATAGATTGACATAAGGTTGGATGCCCGAATAAATGAACTTTGATAAAATGAAAGGCAGATATCGAGCACCGTTTTATTATTTAAATCTTGCCAAGTACTTTTGGTTCCTAGAGCATCTTCAGGGGCATTTTGTCAATTTTGGGCTATCCAACTTGCATCCATTATGTCATAAACATAAAATTGTACATAACATTACACTTAACAAGGACAAAGAGTTTAAAATTATTTAAAAAAAATTGGTCAAAGCTACATTCGGGTCGACAACAGGAGAGAGTTTATTTATCAAAGTTAAAATATTTCATGGATCAATCGAAATTCTAGCATATGCAGACGACGTGAACATTATAACAAGAACCAAGGCGAGAATTGCGAAAATCCTAACCGAGCTAGTAGCAGCAGCATAACAAATGAGGTTAAATATAAATCAAAATGAAACCAAATTCATGGCGACTAACACAAACACAAGAGCTGGAAATGTCGACGCAGATTTAATCATCAATGACCAAAACTGGGAAGCAGTCAAAGAGTTCATATATCTAGGGACATCGGTTAACCTCAATAATAACACATCTGAGGAAATAAAAAGGCGAATAATAATTGCAAACAGGTGTTATCATGGTCTATCAAAGTACACAGCTAACCAACGTCTGTCTTAAAAAACTCGTATAAGGCTGTATATAACACTGATAGTCCCCGTTCTCACATATGGATCAGAGACGTGGAAGCTAACTAAAACAGGTAAATCCGCTCCAGCGATTTTTGAAAGAAAGGTGCTACGCAAGATATTCGGAGCGGTCTGTGAATGGAATATGGAGGCGTAGATATAACTTTGAACTGCAGAATATCTACAAGCATACATTTGGTGGTAAAGATATTACCACTATAATTAAGCGAAACCGCCTGCAGTGAGCAGGATATGTAGCCCGGGCCCCTGAATCGAACATGATAAAAAAGATTCTAACAGCGCAACCCGTGGGAATGAGAAGACGAGGTAGACCAAAGCTGAGGTGAATGGACGGGGTAACACAAGATGCCGAGAAGATCGGAGTCGGCAACTGGAAAATGCAAGCAAGGGACAGAACAGAATGGCGTAGAGAGCTTGAGAAGGTCGAAGCCCTCTAAGGACTATAGCACCAATATGATGATTATGTGGTCTCCTAAAATGCTAGTCCAGACGTTAACTTTTTGATGACGTTGAGTTCGGTAAACAACACTTGCTGGTTTTCTTGCGCCCAATACCTCGTAATGGAAGGATTGTTTCTCCCTACTAACGAAACAGAAAATTCATCAGAGAATAAAATGTTTTTAATAAAATTTGGTTCATCATTTATATTCGTTATTACAGTTTCACAAAACTCCATTTTTTAAAAGTAGTCGTCTCGATAAAGCTGCTGTGTGACAATTCTTGAGCGTGACGTTTTTCTTGAGGCAATAACAACCCTCAAAATTTTTAACAATATTATGAATTGATTGTGGGCAAAGAATTGGTCTGCCCTCAAAAAACACAGAAAATAAATCTACACACTGTTGTTCAGAACTACCACAATAAAACAATTTTATTAGTTGAACCTTTTCTGCAGGCGTATAAACAGACATGTTGTTTACAAAAATAAATTAAAAATATATGCCGTTATTGCTTTAAATAACCAATGTGTATTGACAAATTATTGACGACTATTCAACGGTGGTTCGTGGGAAATCTACCGCGCAGTGATGCCATTTATAGGGTGTATATCTAATTTAAAACTTAACGTACTGTATTATTTCCCAACGAATAGATAGTAATGTGCTTTATAACTTATTTTAATCACTGAAACTTTCATATGTTATACCATGTCTTCCTGTAAATATATGACAATTCTAATTAATATACATAACTTTTTATTAATTTACTTATGAATATTTCAGACGTATTGTGTGGACCACCAAACTGCAGATTCGGCATGTTCAGCAACAGCTTATTTGGGGGGAGTAAAAGCAAATTTGGCAACGATCGGAGTATCAGCGATAGTAAACAAGAAAAATTGTAGTGCCATGAACGACCCTAAGAATCACGTCCAATCTATCGCCCGATTATTTCAGTTGGCAGGAAAAAGAACCGGATTGGTTACCACAACTAGAGTAACGCATGCTTCACCTGCAGGTAGAAACCAATTCCATTTTTATTATTATTTTTTTTTGTGTTATATATATATATATATATATATATATATATATATATATATATATATATATATATACTACTATATATACTACTACTATATATATATATATATATATATATATATATATATATATATATATATATATATATATATATATATATATATATATACTATACTATTGCCACGGTTAATACCGGATTTTTTCTTCAAATTTGCAATTTCCAAGTACATATTTCATAACGTACCGTTCCCGTCATAAAAAACTGGTACAATTCTTATAATCAAAAATCGTGTTTTTTAGGTTGTGTACGTTGATCTTGTCATATGTGTCATTCTGATTTCTAGGGCACCGTTGCCAGTTCAACGAAAATATTATATAAAACCAGCTAATAACATGGCTGTGTGACACACCGCCAGTTTTGAGTATACTAAAAACTAAAACATTATCGAGCATTCTCGATCAGTCACATTAAATTTTTTTAAACATGTATCCTGAAAAATTATCGTATTCATTTTGTAATTTTCCATCATCTCAATTAAGTATCCATACATTGATTTGTGTTTTATAACAATTTATGAAAATACTAGCGGACAAACTTGACATCGAGTTTTTTAAATGAAATTTTTATTTTGCGAGAAAAATTAAGAGATCAATACAAACAATATAAGCAAGAATATACATAACATTCATCAATAATAATGCAAGTAAAAAGTGTATTAAATATCACGAAATATTTCGTCGAAAACAATGTTTTTTGTTACAATGTCTCCAGTTTCTGAAAACTTTTGCTTGGCACCGGGAGTTATGTAAACTTTTACTTTTTACTTTTTAATAAAAACGAAACCGGAAGTCGACCTCAAAACCGGAATGCAATTTTTAGTTCATCAAATGTCGACATGGATATCATTTGGCAGTTAATTTTGCATGCTGATCACGAATCCGGTGTCAGATTTGCTCTATCTTGACGTTTTATGCGCGTTTCGGGTCACTTCTGGTGTCGGATCGCAACCGGAAGTACATATTTAGATTCGTCTCGATGAGACCTTTCGATCCATATATACATTGTGGGGTCTAAAACTTAAAGTAAATTGTAACTTTCGGTCATCTCAAAACCGGAAGTGAATTTTTGTACCAAAAGTATATCTTCACAATCTCATACGTAATACTAATAATATTCCGAAAAAATATTTTAATTATCTTATATGGTTTTTGAATAAAGTGGTGGACAAGAAAAGGGCTTAGCGTTTTAGTATATAGGATTTCAATTAAAAAATAATGACAGATAATCAATCTAGACAAAGTTCAAATTATTGAAATAAAACATTACAATGAGATATTGCATTGCAACTGTTATGTTTTGAAAAGCGATTTTTCGCACCGAATATTTTCTAGTATATAATACGTAGGATAAAGTATAATGTTAGTTTTTCACATTTTTTACCGTCATTTTAATAAATATCTAATAAATTATTCTTGGTACTTTGCCTGTTACAGAACTTATTGACACACTATACAGTTCGAGTTCGGTAGATAATTGAAGTATAAAATTACAGTAGATGCATTCCAATGTTCCCTGTGCCAATACCCTAGGTTTAAAGATCCTTTAAACATTTTGGATAATAACTCAACCCTGTCTCTGCTTACTTAATTCTTAGATTCAGTTTTTTTTGCTAATGATAAAAATAATACATATCTAAAAATTTTATACATTTACGAACGTTATTTTTTTATTTAAATTTAGTGCAATTCCGTTATCTGTAATGGCAACAACGAATTTATTTCTGAACACAGGTTTACATTGGAAAAAAAAGTGTACCAGTTTTATATGACGGGAAATGTACATATTGCCATTGAAAAAATGAGCCGATATAGTCAAAAAGTTACGTTGTATATATTCTTCTGTCCATAAATGATGGTAAAAGAAAAAAGTTTTTAAAAAGTAATTTTAACGTAGATTTTATTCTGTCGTATATTCTTGGTAAAACCGTCCTAGCTAAAGTTGATTTAGAAGTTAATATTTTTTTCACATAATGTTTACCAAACTCGGTACCCAAATTTATTAACTCTTAAGCAAATTGTATGAAACGCTTTCTAGAATACACAAAGAAACTGAACTCCTGTAGATGGCTATATACCATGTATCACAAAAAAAAAATTATTTAAAAAAACTCACCTATTAAAAAGTATAATTTCATAAACACAACGTTTTCGGAATAACTATTCCATCATCAGTGCTATCTGGATTTGCATGTTTGAAGCCACTAAACATGTGAGTAAAAACCCTTTTTATATATATTTAGATTAACTTTGAATATCAAAGATGTAATTCAAAGTTAATCTAAATACATTTAAACGGTTTTACGATCTAGGCTACCTTCAGCGTAATTTCAGACAACATTCAAGATCAGAGGAAATTAACCGGCAGGCAATCTTCACAATAGCAATGCATTACTACTTATAACTGGGAATAAGCCACAATTAAAGATAAAAAATACGTTTATTGACGTTTCAATTTCCAATTCGGAAATCGTTCTCAAAATACAAACAGTAAATTAAACAAATTTTGTTTTTTCAACAAAAAACAAAATTTGTTTAATTTACTGTTTGTATTTTGAGAACGATTTCCGAATTGGAAATTGAAACGTCAATAAACGTATTTTTTATCTTTAATTGTGGCTTATTCCCAGTTATAAGTAGTAATTAATTTACAATGCCACAAGAAAATAGCTTCAGAACAATAATAGCAATGCAATTTAGAAAACTAAAAGAAGTCATTGTCAAGATGCGCACGTTGACTGCCATGCCCCAAGCCCCAAGATTCTTAATATCGATGGATTTCTCAATGGCCACAGATGAAGTTTTCCCATCGCTACTCTGCTACTAGGTCAGTGATGAATAAACGTTTTCTCGACCGTCATTTATAAGGACAATATCGAGACAGCGACAGGCGAAAACATAACTGTTTATGGGGAGAGATGTGTAACAATCGAACACGTCGAAACATAAGTAGTGGCCCTAATAACCTTCATCGTAGATAAGTTCATTCTGGTAGTCGACATCATGTTCGAACATGGGTTTAGTGTAGATGACAGAAACAGGACCTTAGTCGTTGGCGATAAAGAAATTCTACTGTCTGCTTCTAAAAACCAGCCAAATTGGCTAAAGATGTTAGTAGCAGAAGACACGAAGATCCCTCCTAATAGAGAACAGATCGTGGTCGCATAAGTTGATACATCTGGTGGCTTGGGAGCTATGTTATTGGAAATAGGGGAGCAGGAAAATGAGGTCGTCATTCTGGTCAGATATTTGGTAGAGGGAGATAAGAAGATTGTTTCAGTAAGATAACATGTTAACAGTCAGTAGTACACAGCAACTTTTCACTGAACTGTTGGAAAATATAAGGAAGTCATTGGTCCATCTATCCGAATATAAATACCAAACATATCAAAAACTAACGTGATTTTTTCTTAAAGGAAAAGGAAGTAGCCGCACTGCCTAGTCCAACATCGGATAAACACTGACAACTCCAACCCCATATGGCAGGCAACAAGACGTCACCCATTTGCAAAACAAAAAGAAGCTTTGCAATTTTTAAGGATTTACGGAAGGATAATGTTATCGAGTCGAGTAGCCCCTGGTCTTCTTCAGTGGTATTAGTAACTAAAACAGATATATTCATAAATTTCTATGTCGACTACACAAGTTTGAATAGCATTACCAAGAAAGACAGCTACCCACTGCTCCGTATTGACGACACCCTTAGTACCTTGGCTGAAGCGAAATAGTTTTCTACTGTGGATCTCAAAAACGACTATTGGCAAATTGCAGTCCACCCTGAAGACAGAAACGAGTTAGCATTTCTGCCAAATTTAAAGTGATGCCATTTGGATTGTGTAATGTACCTGCCACGTTTGAACGATTATAAGAGCTAGAACTTAGGGGACTTAAATAGAAAACATATCTGGTATACCTTGACGACACTATGATTATCGCAAAGAATTTCGCCAAACATGAGCTGAGCTCTTCCAAGAGAAAGTTAGTTTTCTTGGACATGTCATTCCATTCTCAGGAGTTTTCTAAACCTCTTCATAACCAGGCCAAGAAGTAACTGCCATTTCACATCAACAGCTTGCCTTCACCATACTTAATATAACCACACAAGCATAAATTGAGGACGGCTCCAATCTTGGTATATTTAAAAGAACAGGGCTTTTTGTGTGCTTGAGGGTGAAGAACACGCCAAGGGATACTTCAGTAAAGCTCTAGGAAAAGCAGAAGGAAACTACTGTGTCACCAGAAAGGAGTTATAGTAAGCCATAAAAATTCCGATGGTCTCTCGAGAAGACCAAGCAAAGAGTGAAACTTCTCATTCTACGTGCGCCAAGAAAAACGAGAGGGCCAGATTCTACAGTTAAAAACCCTAGACGACGGAAGTAACGAAGAAGATCTAGCCAAAAAAAAACCTCCAGTCTGAACAGAAGAAAGATTCAGATCTAAAAGTAGTCCGTGGGTGACTGGACAACTGAGCTAAGCCACAGTGGCAAGAAATTGTCATACACTCCTTGAGTCTGCGAAATGGCATCATCCCTCGTAAACGGAAAAGTAAAAGTTTAGGTGGAACATTAACAGTGCCTACAGTGAAGTTGTTCTTCCAAAGTCATCTGTTCTAAACGGGCTTGCAGAACTCATCGATATCCGCTCCGGGAGGCATTTTGGGATAAATAGGACCCTAGTCAAAATCAGTGAAAGGTATTATTGGGTTTACTTTTGCAATATGTAAAAGAATGGTGCAAACGGACCTAAAACGAGACTTGGGTGAAATCCAACAACACATCTTCGGGACTCCATGGGAATGAGTTACTGTTGACATTCTGGGACCATTTTCAATAATATCAGGAAACAAGTATTTGATGGTTGCTTTGGACTATTTTTCAAATAGCCAGAGGTAGTTACACTACCCAACCAAGAAGCAATCTCACTTGGTTAGGCCCTTATTGAGAATCTCGTTTCCCGGCATGAGGTTACACTTCTTGTTATTCTGATTAGGGGCGCAACTTCGAATTAAGAAGACCAGAACAAGACCACCTCATTATCAGTCCGACGGCATGGTAGAAAGACATAACCGGACCATCAACAACTACCTGTCCTTGTTTGTACATGAAAATCAGAGAGACTGGGACAAACTGATGCCCCTGTTTCTGCTAGCCTGCTGAAGCTTCTAACATGAAGCAACTGATATCACTTCAGCCATATTATTGACTGGTCGAAATATAAAGCTTGCCATCGATTTCCCACATGGTAATCTACCAGACGGAGTATCGGAGCAAGACACACTCTCCTAGTATGCCAACGGCCTAAAACATCGGCTGGTTAAACGATATCGCCAGGAATAACTCACCAGTGACCGGATGAAGGTTAGGTTCAATCAGAAATCGACTCCCATTAGCTTTAAGGCAGGTTATGCAGTTTGGCTCTACCAACCAACCAGAAGAAAAGATCTAAGTTCCAAGTTACAGCGTCTCTGGGAGGTTACTAAGAAAAAAACGCCGTTATATATGAGGCGTATTTAGACGAACAGTCTGAAAGAAAGAAGCGATGTTATGTGACTGTAACTACGGTCCTGAAATATCTGGAAAATTCTACCTGACGTTCTATTAATGCTTATTTACGATATTATGCTAGAATTTCATGCTAAAAGGATTATGTTTGAAATAATTTTTATTATTGCAGCGATTCTTTCTCCTGCTGTGTGGACTGCTTTCATCAGGTGCTTTGTAAATAGATATTATGTATAGTTGGATGCCTAGAAATTAAGCACAGTACATAGGCTCTATCCGTGTACTACTTATTACAAAAGTCAGATTTGGACGGGCTCTAGGGTCTTTCCTGTTGACTTTTCTGTAGCTTCGGCTGGCCGGCATTTTTAACACAAAGTTGTTTTTACATTAATTAAGAAGAGCTAGATCGTCTGCTCATGCAATAGCTTTCGCCTCTGCTCCATAGTTGATTTAGAAATATTTTATTATATAAAACGTTCCAAAACGTTGCTCCTACTACGAATCCTTGCAGTATACCTGCTGATGTTTTCAAGTTCTTAGGTTATGCCAGTAGGACATTCCTCTCATTGAGGTAATCCGACATATTGACATATTTGCTTTCTCTAATGAGGTAACGATATATGCTCAGTTGACTGAATCAAATGCATTTCTCACATCAAACATTACGAGGACAGCCTATTTCTTGCTTTCTTTCTACAGTGTCAGTTATTTCTTTTACCACATCGATAAAAAATATGTCTTTACCTAGTAAATATGTAATGTACCAAAAAGCACTGGAGAACTACCAGAAAAATCAAAAATTTAGCTTTAATTGCAGCAACCACTATTTGTAAATATTAAACAAGTTTGTACATATTATGTTCTGCGAACTAGTTATGAAGTTGAAATGGTACATATTTTGAAGACGTTAATTTTCTTTGCTATTTATTGTACTACTTAACTCCTTTATTAATTTTATATTATCCACAGGAGTATACGCCCATACAGCCTACCGCCGTTGGGAAAGCGACACAAAAGTAATAAAAACTGATTACGATCCCAAAAAATGCGAAGATATCGCTCATCAACTTATCTTCGGAGAGACAGGCAAACATCTGCAGGTGATATTAGGAGGTGGACGAAAGAACTTTCTGCCAAAAGAAATAATTGACGAAAATGGGAATCAAGGAGTAAGATCTGATCAAATGAATCTAATCCTTGAGTGGGCTAAACAAAAGGAAAGTATAGATAAAAAGTATGAGTATGTGTCTAATAGGGAACAGCTTCTTAATATTCAAAACGATACGGAATATTTACTAGGTAAGTAACTCAGAAGTTAAAAAAAAAATCAGAAATATCTTATATAATTGCAATAACGTAAATTATTTTTTACTATGTGTGCATTATTATTTTAGTTTATAGAATTTTAATTTGTGCATTTCGATTTTTATGCTTAGTTACAAATAACTTGGCAGTTGATTATACTTAATTAAATTCACAGTAGGTATATATGTGTTGATTACTGTACAGTGCTAGTCAAAAGTCCGTTCGCCCACTCGTATCTATTGAACTGTTATACTTTTAATAGTGAAATTTGGAGGGAGGTAATAAACAGACGTAGGCTTCTTAACTAGTCATTACAAGTGACGTAATAGTGATAGATGACGTTACAGCGTCACGGTGACAGTTACTTTTAAATATGCCTTATAACAAGTGATACCTCGTTTGAAAGGTATTGAAAATACCTATTCAACTATACTACTTTTATTTGAGTTTAAGCTCACTTTGATAAATAAGTTAAATAAATACTAAAATTGTAGTTTCGCATTTAAATAATAAATATTATTTATTATTTAAATAATATTTATTATTTTGTAATAAATTTATTATTTGATAATATATAATTTATTATTTTATAATAAATATATTTATTTGTTTTGGATACGTTGACCTGCAGTCCCATTGTCTTCGCGGCTTTTTCTATTTTAAAAGCCTGTATCAGGTGTCTTTTTGTCCGTGTTACTATGTCAATGTCATCTGCGTAGGCCAATATCTATGCTTCTATTGATGATCGTACCTCTGGTTGTTATGCCCGACTTCTCTATGGCTCTTCTAGTGCGATCTTAAACTATAAGCATGATAGGCTGTCTCCCTGGCGTAATCCAGTATGTGTTTGAAAAGACCTTAACGCTTTGTTTTGTACCTTGACTTTGCACTAAACTTTCGAAAAAGTTGCCTTTACCAATGTTATTGGATGCGACGGAATACCTAGTTTTGCCATGGCATTATAAAGTGTGCTTCTGTCTACTCTTTCATAAGTGCTTTTAAAATCTATAAAGAGGTGGTGGGTATCAATTTCATATATATATATATATATATATATATATATATATATATATATATATATATATATATATATGTCTTTTCTAAGGTTTGTCTGAGAAGGAAAATCTGATCAATTGTTGACCTTCCTTTTCGGAATCCATATTGATATTTGCCTATTTTTTTCTCAGTATATACTAGTAAATAATCATAAAGTATATAAGCCAGTACTTTGTAAGCCTTATTTAAGAGGGTAATTCCTCGATATTAGTGGATCCCCTTTCTTGTGAATAGGTATTATAATACATACATTCCAACTTTCTGGGAGTTTTCCTTCTCTCCAAATGGATGCAACAAGTTTTATTATGTATTTTTTTTAAAACGTTTGCTCCATACTTTAACAGGTCAGGGGGTATAACATCTTCTCCAGGGAATTTGTTGTTTTTTAACTTTTTTATTGCCTTGGCAACTTCTTCTGTTGATATATTATTTTTCTTCCTCTCATCGTCTACGTCTCCACTGTGGTCATTTATGTCAGTCACTTCTCGGTTGCCTATATTTAATTTCTCAGCAAAATTTTTCGCCCATCTTTCCACTATTTGATTCGGCTCATTGATAATTTCGGCTTCCTTACTTTTTATTACGGTTATTCTACGTTTAAATTCTTTTCTGTTGTAGTTCACATTTTTATAAAATTGTCGCGCTTCGCTTTGTGAATTGAGCCTTTTTAGTTCCTGTAGCTGGTTTTCTAAATGTTTTTTCTTTTGTTTTAGTATCTTTTTCTTTGTTTCTCTCATCTGTTTATACTCCTCTTTATTTTCTTCTTCTGTCATTTTGTCCTTCATCTTGTCCTTCTGTTTTGGGGTTTCCCATACGCCTGATTCTTTTTTTGAGTTGCCTGTGCGCATTCCGTATTTTACCATTTCGTCCCCTTCCTTTCTTGTTTCTTCTTTCCTCAAACTGTTGTTGCTACTTTTTGAGGATATTTATCACTCATTCCAGTAATTATCTATGTTTTTAACAGTATATGCCTATTCAATCATACTAATATGGTTTGGATTTAAGACGATTTTGACGATTAAATTAGATAAATACTAAAACTCAAGTTTGGCATTTAATTAATAATAATTCTAACGTCCGCCTTTGGTTATTTCTCAAAATAGTTGACATTTGTCAATTCTCTAGTTATTTTTAGTTTGCTAAAGCGTTTATAAATTATTATTTAGTTTCTGTTTCTGCTTACTTTAGTCAATTCAAGTTTAGTCATGTTGTTTTTAGTTAGTTGTTGTTAGTTAATATTTAGTTTAATTATTATTTAACAAAATGTTTAAATTTTACAAAGGCAGAATGGTACGTACTGTAGCCGACAAAGTAGAAGCTGTGTTAATAATTGGAGAATGTGGAAATATTTTCCATGCAGCGAAACGTCTTTTTTATGAGAGGTACCACGATCGCCCTACATCAAGAGCTTATTGACATAATTTCAGAAATAGTAGTGAACCCTACTTCTTGTACAGCCCAAGTTGCATCTATCTGTGGAATCAGTCAAAAAACAGTACACCGAGTGTTGACTAAAAACAAATTTTATTCATACAAATTAAAAATTGTGCACCAACTTTCAGATGATGACCTCGACCGAAGACTAGAATTGTGTGAAAATATGTCCAATAAAATTAACCAACAGCCCCATTACATAAAAACAATTTGTTTTAGTGACAAAAGTACTGTTTTTTCAATGGAAATGTTAACACACATAATGTGAGGTATCGGAGAGACACAAATCCTCGCTTTCCGAAAAGAAATACTCAATTTCCAATAAAAAAATATATGTTTGGGCAGATATTTTGGGAAACCACATAGTAGGGCCTGTTTTTCTCAATATACTCCATTCCACGAATATACGACTGTTTTAAATTCGCTTTAAGGTGTCGATTTAAATGGTCCAATATACTGAATTGTACAATAGTAAATTCTCCCCATTTTTAAAAGACTGTCACGACAGATATAAGCCTTAGATTTAAATATGAAGTCATGATATAAATATAAAGTTAATAGTTTATAGAACAGTTGTAATTCAGATTTTGAAATATATAATTACTATCATGGAGTTTATTTTTTCATTTCAATTATTTCATTGTAAACAAGTTGGTTTTTGAATTATGTGATTTAAACGAAATGTAACAATACTTAAGTGATCAAATAGTGTAAATTTTTTAGTCGAATATTCAATTAGTATTAAAAAAAAAACAAAAAAACTTACTTATTCACTTATTCTCTTAATCTTCTAAAACTATCATCAACGATCAGCCATAATCAGTCGGCGATATATGAAACTGTATATAAATTTTCGTTACTTTTTAATATCTCTAATGACTCGGTACTTTAACTATCAAGAGCCGGTATGTTACTTTCGGAACTTTTAAGAGAACATAAATTCAAAGCAAACAAATATTTAAAACTAACAAAGTGAAATATTAGATCCTTTTTCTGGTTTGTGAAACATCGTTCTGCCAATTTACTTTACTTTAATTTATATTACAAATAATATATTTCTTTTTATTACAGTTGTAATACCTCATAAAGCAATAAAATCTGTTATATTAAAGAAACCCGGCACGCCTATTTGGTGTTTACATTTCACGGAAAGCTTACCCAAATGTCTAAAGAACACATTTGGCTTCATAGACGGCATTGTATTTATTTGTAGATTGTAACTGAAATAATTTTAGTTTAGATGCCATACTAGTAGACCCATTTTATTGGAATAATGATTAGACCAATTGACCTTCATACTTCTACTTGCACAGTAAAATATTCGTTGTCGCAGTAAACCAAAACAGTCGTATATTCGTGGAATAACCTATACTAACTTAACCGGTAAAGTGTATCTGGAGATATTATGGTATACGGTTACAAATTGCAATTGAACAATTAATACTTGAAATACTGGAGGATAATCCAAATAAATTCGGCAACTTGGAAATATCATTTCAACAAGATTGTGTTGCTGCACACCATTATGATACAGTAAGACATTACCTAGATGAGGAACATTAAGGTAGATGGACGTCTGGAAACCAAACATTAGTTATTTTTGTTTCATTTGTTTTAATTGTGATATTTATATTTTTGTATTTTGACTCTTTTTGACCTCTTTTTAAAAAGTTACTGTTTAAAATTTAAAACAATTATAAATTTCTCATTTTTCCTATACAAGACAAACTAACAGACCACAGATAACCAGTTTTGTAGAAACATTTCCATTTTAGGTTTGTTCTCCTCCTGCCACATGCCCTACAACTTGGAAAGAAATAAAGAATCAACTCCATCCCTCGAAGAAATGACGGAAACAGCAATAAAAGTTCTTCAAAGAGGTCCCGAAGGATTTTTCCTGTTCGTAGAGGGCGGACGTATCGATACTGCTCATCATTTAAGTTCATCTAGAAAAGCACTAGATGAGGCTGCAGAATTTTCCAAGGCCGTCCAAAGGGCTGTTGACTTAACCAAAGAAGAAGACACTCTGATTATAGTAACCTCCGATCACGCGCATACTATGAGTTTCGCTGGGTATGCTCAAAGGGGCAGTGATATATTTGGGTACGGCGGCCAGGCTATGGACAGTAATTTGTATACTATTTTGAATTACGCCAATGGTCCAGGATACAAAGTGATGGAAACTGGAGAGAGATATGTACCATCCGAAAAAGAAATGAGTTAAGTAATGACAAATCTTTAATAAATATTATAAAATAGATAACATATATCTATAAAATAAAGTACCCCTAAAATCAAATATCTATTTTAAATTTATATTTATTTGGTCATAGTCAAATTAAAATATACAGTATGAAAACCATTTATCGAATAAAATTGTTCTTGTCCTTATTTTAAAAAATTATAAAAAACCTTCTCACATTTTAACCTTTGAATGGAACATCCTATGGATTTTTTAATTTTTAAAAGTTCCATAATACCCCAATATCAATTAAGTATATATCATATTGGTTCTATTATAAATAAAACAGGCTGAAATTTAGAAATTATACAGTGTCGAAACCACTTATGAAATAAAATTGTTTTTGTCTTCTGACTCTGATCCTGATTCTGACCCTCTGATTATTAGATGTTTCTGCATTATTTGTATGTGCTTCAACTTTTGTGCGGGTCAGGGTTCGTGTGTTATGTTATGTTTGTGTGTTGCTTATGTATTGTATATGATTGAAGAAGATGTGTCTCGGTGTTTCTTAATCCGCTATTGTTAATATATTATTGTTGTAGACTTCTTCTTTTAGTGTTGGCAACCAAAACCTGCTACATTTTTCTGATGGGTTTGTTACATATTCATTAAGTAGTATTCATACTTCATTGAGTAGCATTCTTTGATTTTTCTCTTTTTCATGTGTTTTTTTCATGATTGTTGAAGCATCTTTCCATAGTACTCTGAGTTCATTGTCTCACGCATGTTTGTGTATTTGTGATATATCGAGAACCCTGTTTTTGATGTATGTTTAAGGCTTGTTTATCCTGATACTTAGTGGTCTTACAGTTTCTCGTACAAAGAAATTGTTACTTGACAGTGTATTTATAGATACAGATCTTCGATCTCCCTTGTACTGTTAGGTTTGGTTTTGGACAGGATAGGTCTGAGTATATTGGTTGTTTTAAATGTTGTTGTGATGTTGTACTTATTTCCCATTGTTGAAATGCCCTTTTATTAGTGCACCTTAATGCACTGGATGTGATAATCACCTTTTGTAATCACAAAACGGTGATTATCACATCCAAAGAAGGGAGTGAGTTCTGGTTCTGGTCAGTTTGTTGTTAAAACCAGTGTCAATAAAACACACACAGTTGTTATTTTTTTACCCGTCAGGAATTTGTTTAATGCTTTTGGTCCATGAAGCCAGATAGAGAATACAGCATCTGCATATCTCCACCATACTGTAAGTTGTTTGTATATAATGCTTTGTTAGAAATATTCCACAAATATATCTGCTAATAATAATTGAGATATGAATGGACCCATGGCTAATCCAACATTTTGCTTATAAAATTCATTAGGAAGTTGAAAATAAGTATTGTCTGTACAAAGTGTTCTTCTTTAAGTTCCATCTTCTATCGAAGGTTGGAAATCATCATGGCTATGCGGACTCTGTTGACTGCCGCTCTAAAAAGTTCTGCACTACTGCATTCAAACCATAAGTTCTTAAGCCAGGATATTCTTCGTCTTCCCACATTTCGCTTTCCTCGGATTTTGCCCTGCATAATAAGTTGTAATAATGCGTATTTTTGGCCTCTTATCACATGTCCCAAGTACTCAAGTTTTCGTCTTTTAATAGTTAATATTATTCCCGCCTCATTTCCTATCCTTCTAGTTATTTTTATGTTTGACAGTCTCTGAATCCATGATATTTGTAGGATTCTTCTGTAACACCAAAATTCAAAGGCGGCCAACTTATTCAGATGAACTTGTTTTAGTGTCCAAGCTTCCAAACCATAAAGAAGAGTAGAGAACACGTAACATCGAAGCATTCTCAGGCGTAGTTCTAACCTATTGAGTCTGAGAGCGCTTCTTGAAATACCGCTTCACTGTAGACATTGAAAAGTAGTGGGGACAGCACGCAACCCTGGCGGACTCCTCTCTGTATTTTGATATTTTCGGTGTAATAGCTGTCAACTCTTACCTTGGCAGTTTGATTCCAATATAAATTACATATAATTTTCATATCACGACTGTCAATATTTTTGCTTTTTAATATATCTACAAGATTTTTAAGTTGAACTTTATCAAATGCCTTTTCAAAGTCTACAAAACATAAGTACATATCCTGATTCATGTCCATGCATCTCTGAGCCAGCACATTCAAGCCGAACAAAGCATCTCTTATACTCATATTGTGTGTCACTAATCTCATATTCAAGAGTTTTAACAATTCTGCTGTGAATTATTTTCAAAAATGTTTTAAGTATGTGACTCACTAAAGCTATTGTTCTGTGGTCTGAGCAAGTTGTTGAACTTGGTTTTTTGGGAATTGCTACAAAGGTTGATTGCATCCATTGTCTGGGGATACAATGTCACAAAGTGTTAGTAGCTCTATAAAAGCTGATACATGTAGTTTAATTTTTTGTTCAATATATTATCTCTCTCTAGTTCAACTATATTTTTAAAGTTTTCTCTAATGACATATTCGTGAACACGCTGCTGTTATGGAAACTCACTAGCATACTGTTGTAATTGTAATCTATTTCTGCTAGTTTTTGCAAACATTGTTGTGAATTTAATGTATTCTGTTGTATTTTAAGCTACAGGTTGTCTTATGTCTTCAAAGACCGTAAAAATTGTACAGCAAGGAGACTCCATGCTGCTACAAATTGTCCTGAGAGATATATTTGCTTTGTGAATTTTTGGGACTCCATATAGGTGTGGTGCCCTTCTATAGTGTGATGTTCTTGTTTGATAGTCTGTCAAGTATTCAATTAATTTGTGTAGTGTTTTATATATTTTGTTTTTATTGGATTGATTGCATCCTTTATTAGTTTCGTGTAGCGTCTATCTGTGACCAATTCTTGAATTTTATCCTGATATTGGCTTATGTCCGAAATTACAATTTCGCTGTTCTCGTCAGCTGGTAATATTATTATGGACTTATCTTCTTTTAGAGATTTGATTGCTTTGAATTGCTCTTTACCAATGTTTGCTTTTGGCTGAGTGCTTTTTTTAATCCCTTTTTGCACAGTGCACTATATTCTCCATTTTCATATGTTGGTTGTACTTGACAAACATATTTTAACTGCACAAATTATTTTTTGAGTTCAATTTTGGAACTAATGGGCGTGTGACTGCATAATTCAAACCTTTTGACAGCATCTGGTTGTCTATTTTATGTAGCTGTCTTATGGATAAATTAACAACTGTTGTGTTATTTGTATTGTGTCATTCACTTTTCTGGATGTTCTAATTACAAAAGGTGATACAGGATATGCAATCAAAATTTGCTGAAAACCAAACTACAGCAACATATATTTAAATTACCACTTCAATCACAACGTAAACTAAAGGAAAAAAGTTATTAAATCATTATATGACGGCGCCCAAAACACCTGCTCTAATAAAAAAGCATTTCAACAAAGGAAAACCTGCTGACAAATATTTTAACAAAAAATATACACCTACCCATTTTCATTTATTATTAAGAGAGAAGAAATAGATAGAAGAAGAAAGAACAAGATAGAAGAAAGAAAACAAACACTACCACTGATAATTCAAAATCACTTACAAGAAGAGACTCAAGGATGACTTCAATACCATATGTAAAGGGTTATCAAAAAAATTAAAAAGGATGGGAAATAAGTAGAGAGAGCAGAGAGTTCAAAAAACTGTATTTATAAAATATCCTATAAACGCAACAATTTCTATGTGGGAAAAACCGCAAGACCACTAAGTGGCAGGATAAACGAGCATAAAACTTTCATAAAAAATGGGGATTTCCACCAATCACAAATATGCAAACATGCTTGTAACAATGAATATATAGTACAATAAAAAGATGCATCAGTAAGTAAGCAAGAAATAGACACGAAAAAGAAAAAACTTCACCCAAAACAGCCCACATTTACGCAATGAAAAAAAATGTAAAGCAATCAAATCAGCAGAATGTAGTAGGCTTTGGTTGAAAATACTAAGTCGACAACAAGAATTTGCCAACAATAGAGGATTAGAAAACATCAAGACACATTGTCTTTAATAATACACAATACCCATGAAAGTGACAAAAACAAAACACAAATTCTATACCACGCACAAACCTTTAATATATTAATATATTATAATATTCAGAACAGACATAATATTCAGAAGTTTACAATTTTACAGGGCACAAAATCTACCCTCATATCTTTCAATCCAAATTAGAAATCAGGTTTTTTCTAGTTACTTTCTAGTCATTTTTTCATTTTTAATGTAACGATTATTTCAAAAGTTGTACTGGTTAAGACGTTAGGAACGCAAGTTGGTTAAGAAGCTAGGAACAAATTCGTAATTGTTGAGACTATATGTATGAAATTGATTCCTTTGCTTTCTATCTTTTTGTTTGATTTGCCGAAGTTTCGTTTGCAGCATATCTCATCTTTTAATATAAGTTGTACCTATTTATATTCTGAGTTGAGGATAGGCTCTTATAATCCAGGTGGCATAAAAATCAACCAAAATTTTAAGAAGGTGCAGTTTTCCCAGTAAAAAGAAGAATAATCGATACTAGAGTCCTAACACCACAATTAAATACTATGGAAACAACAACAATCACAGTGCAAATGAGGTGAAGAGACATCAGGATTACCTCCGCCTATAGCCAAACCTTTAATATTTATAGAAGAGCTAAATGCAAGATCCCCAAATCAAAATGATGGAGCTACGAACAGAAACAGAAGACTAAACTATTATATATACTATATACTCTGAACAATTATATAGATAATAATGACGACATCATGGCAATGGGACCCATCGAACCAATAAACTTAAAAATCATCGAAAATTAACTCTATATCGACATTATAGTTGCTAGCAACCTAGGACCCCACACAGAAATTTAGACACTAAATAAAGGAACAGTAAACCACAACCCATTACTACTGGAGTTAGGAACATGGGATTAAAGAACCACTGAAAAATGGGCAAGAAAGAAAACAAATTGGACCAACTACAATACACTTACAAGCACTGAAATATTCAACGTTTGAGTAATAAACAACCCACAAAAAATAAAGAAGAGTCCTAGAGTTTGAAAATATATTACAGGAAGAACTCAGGAACAGCACTGTAGAAGTGGAAACAAAAATGCATATGTGAGGGTTTAAGGACATAAATACATAAATACATAAGGGACATGTTAAGGAAAAAAAATTGAGTAAACAGAGAACCAGAAGGACAAGGAACCAGGTGGGCACAAACAGGACAAAGCGACTAAACAGAATTTAAGAAGAGCATTATAAGAACACCATAGCTAAAACTGAAACAACCACGTCCAAGATATGAAGCATCAAGGCCCAAATATGCAGATATGAATGCCACACAAAATATTAAGAGTATCATAAGAAAATCTATCCTCCAATACATGACGAGAATGAAATTGTCTATTTCAATAAAGAAAAAGCCGAGGTAATAAGGAGGACTCTTGAGAGAGAGTGCACACTAAATTATCACCTAGACTAAGATATAGACATTATAGAAGAAGTCAAAGAATAACAAAAAAGCCCACTAAATCACAAGACTTTACAAACATCCTACCATGATAATAAAAAAACACAAAAAACGTATAAAAAACTACTAACAAAATCCGGCGCAAACCACCAAAAAAATTCACAAAACCAAAAAAACCAGGCACGTAGGGCCCAAACTCTCGAGCAGAAAGTCTTCGTACTGGGCAAAGCGGAACGGAGATTTGAGGGACTGAGCAAGCAATGTCAAATTCACAGGGGGAAAGGGATGTTCTGAAGCTTGGAATGATTCCTGTTTACACTAGAATTAATACACCTCGCTCCAATGAATTGTTACACCCGAACGTAAATCCAAATGGTGAACAAGTCTCTCAGGCTAGGTTTTTACTGGCTTGCATATTATAAGTAAAGTATTATGTGTGCAATATAGCTTGTTTTACTGGTTTTAATTATATTTACCAGTAACTAAAGAGTACTTATTTTCAAATTTATTTAGCTACTACTATTCCAGTTGACTCTTAAGGTTCGCTTATAAAGTCATATTTTAAATTCATGAATTCACCTTATTATATTTTCCATTTATAAAATCGATGTTTCGAATCTGAAGAAGATAAGCGACCTTACCTAACATTTTAGTATTTTCAGACTTCTATGTATGTTTAATTTCCAGTGGCATAACAGTTTCCGTATATTGACTAATCTCGCCATTGTTACCTTAATTTCCCCTTTATTTTATTTTTCAATGATCTAATTGGAAGTTTCCTCATGGTTGCTCTAGTAATAATAAAATTAATTTTATAAAAAAATCAAACTTTAGTTTAAAATATTGTTTTTAGACGAAGTGAGCTTCAAATGGCCGTCTACTACGCCGTTAGCATCTGAAACCCACGGCGGCGACGACGTCGGAATATTCGCAAGAGGTCCTTGGGCACATCTCTTTACGGGGGTGATGGAACAAAATGTGATACCGCACCTTATGGCGTTCGCATCGTGTACCAGTAAGGAAATCCAGTGTGACCGTTATGTGAAACAAGCGTAGATGAAAATGAAAATTGAACCAGAAGTGGAAAAGATAAGATCGAAACATATTGTGATAATATATTGTATTTAATAGAATATTAAATATTTAATAGATCTAATAATAACAATTTTGAATAGAATATTGAAGTTGAAAATAAATTATTTAAATAAACAACAGTTATTTAATTATATACTAACATTTTAATAACTCAGGAAAATAGCAGGCAAAGCAGTCCAGGACAAAGAAAGACTTTATGGTTGATGAACTTGTCAGATTGATATGGTATTGATACCTAACCTAAATACTAAATAGTGTTCCTTTAGTTCCAAGGTTATTGCGGAACCCAACCTGCGTGTCACTAAGTTGTTATTCTATTTTTTGGTACATCCTTAAGTGCAAAATATGATACTTCGTGCTGATACTTCGGTAGTCACTACATCTTTTATTATTTGCTTTTTAAGTAATCGTCACAAAAGTCGACAGCAGCAAATCCGTTGGCATAGCCAGTTTTATAAATTTTATTAAAGAGTTTAAGGAGTTGAAGGATTAACTTTTACCTGAATTTTTAAAGAGCTTTATAATTTCACTCAGTATTTCATTCGGCCCTGGCACTTTTCTGTTTTTTTGCTTATCTTATTACTCGTTCAATTTTGTCCATAGTTATGTCAGGTCCTGTCACCACCTCTGTAATTTGAAAATCGGACCTTTTATCATTAAACTATTTCTCAAAGTAGTCTATCCATTTATATATTTTATCCAAATTAGTAATTCTACTGGTTTTATAAAAATATTTAAAATTATTTAGATTTTCTAACTCGCCTGATTATCTGAGTTACATACAGATATCTTTTAAATAATTGTATATATATTACAGAAATGTATTTTTATTATAGTAATACTGCAATACTTATATAATTGTTTTCTCAATACAATAAAAGACCTCGTCACCGTTATTAATGCAAAAATCGTCATCATCATCATCATTATCTTCTGCTAAATCAATAATTACCGGTCTGATGTCTTCACGATCAAAAACAATTTCTCTATCCCACCAGCGCAGTATCTCAGATTATGTATTCTTTATTATTTTTGATTATACTTCTAGTATAATTTTCCAGGGACTTCCTCCACACTGCCAAAGAATTTGCAGTAGAACTGCCATTTGTTCCAATATCTTCTTCTTCTTCGTCTTCATTTTTGTATGTAGGCTTTAAAACCTGTGTCTTCTTCAATATTAGCCTCTAAAATTGTGTATATTATCGCACTAATTTTTCTTGGTCTACCAATAATTCTTCGTCCATTTGCTAACTTATCTTGTGCTATTCGTACTATCCTATCCTTTGCTATGCTAATAATGTGTTCATTTTAGTCCTCCTCGATCAATTTCGATTTTACATCGTGGTGGCTATTTAGATGTTGTCATACATTTGGTTTTTTTTGCTAATATTTTATATTTTGTTTTGGTTGTTGTATTGAAGATGTGTGTTAATCTGGAGCTCGTCTTCTCTCTCGGAGATGTTCCAACATAATCAGACTAAAACCATTTACTTATTTACCATATATTCTTAATTGCGTTAAAAATACAGTGGTATAAAGAAAGTCGAAAAACTCTATAATCATGCCATTTTATCTACCCCATATATTAGTTCTGGTTTATTCCTATAAGCAATAAAATACTAAAAGCGTATCCAGTTATACAAATCTACCTCAGACCAGTTTAAGAAATTAAGGTTTTTACATTGTTTGTTTGTATAAAATATTGTTATTTTACAACCATTCTGTTATTTCAGCTTTTTTGCAATAGATGTAAGAGCTTTATTAATTATTGCGCTATGATATGGAGCATTATCCATTGTAATAATAGATTGTTCCTCTAAATTGTTCAACAGCCGATGTTCACTCCATTTCAAAAAGTTATAACTATTCATTTGTTAGGCAGTATTCTTCGTTTTGGATAAAAAAAAACTAATTCATCTCCCTGAATAAATCCATTACAGTTGCCTGTCTGGAGAATGATGTATCTAAAAAATAGTTTATATTACTAAATAAAATAAATATCTAAAAAATTGTAACGTTACAAACGTTACATATTTGTTATTTTTATCAATATTTTATTTAAATTTCTTTTGATTTTATTCGTGTATTAACTTTTTCTTCCATTTGACTATTTTTTTTTCAACTCAACTCTTTAAATAACTTTCTATTTACTAAATATTCTATCATCTAAATATCTAATTTAATCTTTATTTTTCATTTTTATTCTTCATTTATTTCAGTTGAAAATTGTCAAAATAGCTGTCAAAGTTAATGTGAATTTTGGAATTCTCCCCGAAAAATAAAATAACTTTTGGCGGGTTTCTGAAGATAATTGTACTAACTAATTATTTACCGTCTCGAAATTTGGTATATTTAAATTAAATATTTAACAGTCAATGTGAAATAGAAGTGAGCTTTAACTGAAGAGAAAATATTTCTAACAGGGAATGGACCAGGATCAAATGATTTTCAGTTCCCTACAGTGCAGTTTCCATTCGTAATGCAGAACGAGCCTACAAATCTAATACTGTCACCGCGGGGGAACAAATAGCGGTCTGAACTCCTTCTGTTGCCTCCGGGTGCTCTGTAGAGGGCTTCGGAGACGTCAACGAAAGCACCTCTACCCAAGTCCACTTTCAGGTTATGGACTTGGAAAAGTTTTCTCATCTGATGACTCGTCTTGAGAAAGACGAGTTATTTCTTACATGACGAAAATTCTCTGTTGAAATAAACCATCAGGTTGTCTTCTTTGGTGACTTGCCTTGAGAAAGGCAAGTTATTTCTTACATGAACAATATTAAGTCGAAATAAAACACCAAGTTTAAAGTTGAATAATTACTCAGCCACAAAGTATGGAAAGCTAAAAAGGAAGCAGAGCCCCGAAAGCACTAAGCTCTCAGAGAGCCCGTGAAGGACTGACTTGGTTGACGTGAAAATCGCCTATTTTTATACACGCTGAAGTAGCGATAAATAGGGATTTCCAGGTCAGGGACCAATAGGAAAAATGAGGGGCGGGGCGATGCGTCTCGGGCGCGAACTAGTCGCGTCCGAGAACAATACATCCGTATTACCAAGTAAGTCAAATAAATACTTAAGATACACCATTGTGCTCAAATCAACCAACAGTCAAACAAACGATACCTTTTGATAATTATCAACAACAATATCAGGTACAAAAAGTAGTTTCCCAGCAAACCAACTTTTCTCATTCTACATTAAACTGTCAAGCTAACTTAAACTTAAAAAAAAATCCATAATCACAGAATGAATATAATTCGATGTCAGATAAAGAACATGAAGACTCTCAAAATAATAAACACCCATGGCAAACAATAAGATCAATATTATAAATACTTAAACGTCAAGATTTAAGGGAAGAAGAAGCTCCAATTACCCTCTCAAATAGGTTTCAGCCACTTTCACAGGAAATCTCCCTAAATGATACGAATAAAAATCCACCAATCTCAAAACCCCCTACAATTTTTATATATGCGTGAATGACTATAGTAAAATGATAGATAATTTAGCTCAAGCAGTAGAAGTAGAAACTTACTTCACTAAAGCCTTAACAAACAACACAATAAATGTTTTACCAAAGACACCTGAATCCTACAGAAAACTAATACATCACTACGAGAGGAAAATATCGTCCCACATACATACCAACCTAAGAAAGACAGAGCATACAGAAGTGAAAATCCAGAACAAGGGTCATAAAGTAAGGAACGTTACAAATGTCAGACACAAATTGAGCCCTGAACCACTACCATTATTTTTTGTGGACCTCGAACCTCAAACGAACAATAAAGAAATATTTGAACTACAGTATATACAACATTGCAAAATAAGAGTTGAACCACCGAGAATTAAAAGGAATATACCACAATGTACACGATGTCAAAAATATGGTCACACTAAAACGTACTGTGCAAAACCGTATAATTGCGTAAAATGCGCTGGATCACACAACATAAAGGACTGCAAGAAACCAAAAAACACGCCAGTAACTTGCAGTAACTGCAACGGAGACCATCGTTCTAATTACAGAGAATGTTCTGGTTATCATGAACTACTAAATGTCAAATACCATGACAAATCAAAACAAATCACCACACAAAATCCTGTCAACAATCCCAACGTAAATATATCTACCCACCATCATGCTCATAATTTCAACAGAATTAGTTATAAAGATGCTATAATATTGGAAACATAAATGAAGATAACAAAAATAACAACAATGAATTAGCAGATAAACTATCAAATTTCCTAAACGAATTCAAAAATATGTTCTCTCAACTCTTAAACCAAAATAGTATGATTTTAACAATGTTAACTACAGTCATTAAAAAAATAGCAAAATCGCCTTTAAGTCACTACGAATTGCGTCGTGTAATTCTAATGGCATTTCAAGCCATATATTAGAGATATCACTGTTTTTAAAAATGTATAATATATACATTATAATAATATCTGAAAGCCATGCCACACAATGAACGATTATTAAGATACCTTATTATACTGTTCCACTCTTGCGGTATTTGTCCTTCAAACAAACATTTATTTTTTCACGTCTAAAGGTCGAGCATTAATGAATATCGTCCAACAAAATAACTTAAGATACTTATCTACGGGAGAACCCACATACTGGCCTACGAATGCCAACAAAATTCCAGATTTGGTAGATTTTGCTGTACCAAAAGGTATATCTGGCATCCATAGTGCAATAGAGTCAAACTTCGATTTAAAATCAGATCACAGTACAATAATTAAGTAAACACATAATATTTATAACACCACTCCCAAACTCACAACTAAAGAAACAAAATGGGATGCTTTCCAAAATTCTGTAAATACGAGAATTAGACTAGATATTAGGATAAAAGAAAACCAAGATGTAGACAAAGCAGTAGACTATTTAACAACAGTTTTACAAACAACAGGAAGGGAAGCAATACCACAGCGCCAAAGAAGTGTGCAAAAAAACCATAATATACCCCTTCATATAAGAGAACTGGTAGCAGAA